TGTCTGGAATTGGAAAAAATGCAATATCTGAGATTAATATATTAATATATGTGTTTAAATATATTGGACACAGAACACTAAATAATTAAAATTAAACACAGACTTATAGAAAATACAAAAATGAAACATAGATACATGGAGAGAGAGAGAGAGACAGAGAAATAACAATGGAATAAAAAGAAAATCATAGACCAGAGCTTAAGAAGCATGTGGTAGATGTTTGTAGAAGAGAAAATATCAATCCACAGATGCAATGAACACAGCAAAGCACAAATAGGATAAATACAAAGGCAACATCTTTTAAGCACATTACAGAATAAATGGCGAAAATCAAAAACAAGGGGCAAGAAATTGAAAAGGCCCTAGAGAAAACAAGACACATTCGTTTCAATAAAGCAAAGAATAAGATTCGCAGATGACTTTTCAACGGAAATGAGGAAAGACAAAAATAAATGTAATGATATTTTTAAATTGCTCAAAGACTGTAACTACCAACCTAGAATTGTATACCTACAGAATGTTCCCACCAAAAAGTAAGGATAAATAAAGACATTTTCAGATAAACCAATAAGAAGACGATTTGCTGCCAACACTTCTGAGTAAAAGATAGAAACTAATTTCAAATAGTAATGGGTATGTAGAAGGTAATAAAGAACAATATAAACATTAAATTGATGTACACATATAACTTGTCTGTACAACACAATTGTAATATCTTTTAAAAATTAAACAATGCAACACTAAACCATCCTACACACCTAGAAAACTGACTGGAGGATTAACACAACAATCTGCACAACCTGAACCACAGAATTCAGCAGGGTCCCGGCACCGAGAACTGAACTTGGGGAGCTAGAAGCCGCGAAAGGTAAGGAACCGTTTTTGCGGGCAGAGAGGGGATGGAGACTTGTGGGGGGAGAACACGGGAAAAGCACCCCACCCCAAAAGCAGCTGGAGAGAAAGTGGCAAATTGGAAACAGCTGCAGGGACTAAACTAAAAAGGGAGAAAGGAGAAAGGAGAGGGTTTAAATTCCATTAAGACTGTAAACAAGGGGAGCGCAAGGGCTATAACTCCGCAGTTCGATAGCTGGCGGTGCTCTGGTGGGAAGGGCGAATCCCCAGGAACAGAGTGGGGTCCGGGAGGTTGTCGGGCCACACGGGGAAAAGCGGTTCCACTGCTGGAAGGACATCCGGTAGAGACTGCTGAAGCCACCTGGTCCCAGCAG